CACTTAAGACATGTCCAGTAGTGTATTTTATTATTACACTGACAAACGCATATTTTTAAACCACAACAAGGCGTCCCTGATCCTGAGATGGCCTGGCTCAGTATCCATTTTACAGATGGACAAAGACCGACAGAGAATACTAATACCTCAGTGCCGAAATGGAGACAAACACGAATGGTGGTTTGAAAGATTTGTACCCGTCAAAGGAGTCCATGCGAATCCAGCCCTTTTTTCCCTCCTTCATTTCTTCTGAATTTATTAATTTTTATTTGACTGCCACAGAGTCACAGTTACATCCTGCTAAGAAATTATAGTGCATGCCACAAAACCTTAGGGGGCTGATTCGTGACTATCTTTGTGTTGTCCTTTCGAGTGTACAGTGTGTGTTTGTGGTATGTGTGTGTTTGTTTGTGTGTGTGGCTGTCTGTGCTGTATGTGGAGCTGTTGTTGTCTATAGTGAAGGTCAGGGTGTCTCTTCCCACAGACTTCTTAGTATGGTGAAAGTTCTCAGGCGTGCTGTGAGAAAATTCTGGGATATTCTTAAACTCAAGATACAGTGGGTACGGAAAGTATTCAGACCCCTTTAAATTTTTCACTCTTTGTTTCATTGCAGCCATTTTCCAAAAATCTAAAAAGTTCATTTTATTTCTCAGTAATGTACACTCAGCACCCCATCTTGACAGAAAAAAACAGAAATGTAGAAATTTTTGCAAATTTATTAAAAAAGAAAAACTGAAATATCACATGGTCATAAGTATTCAGACCCTTTGCTCAGTATTTAGTAGAAGCACCCTTTTGATCTAATACAGCCATGAGTCGTTTTGGGAAAGATGCAACAAGTTTTTCACATCTGGATTTGGGTATCCTCTGCCATTCCTCCTTGCAGATCCTCTCCAGTTCTGTCAGGTTGGATGGTAAACGTTGGTGGACAGCCATTTTCAGGTCTCTCCAGAGATGCTCAATTGGGTTTAAGTCAGGGCTCTGGCTGGGCCATTCAAGAACAGCCACGGAGTTGTTGTGAAGCCACTCCTTCGTTATTTTAGCGGTGCGCTTAGGGTCATTGTCTTGTTGGAAGGTAAACCTTCGGCCCAGTCTGAGGTCCAGAGCACTCTGGAAAAGGTTTTCGTCCAGGATATCCCTGTACTTGGCCGCATTCATCTTTCCCTCGATTGCAACCAGTCGTCCTGTCCCTGCAGCTGAAAAACACCCCCACAGCATGATGCTGCCACCACCATGCTTCACTGTTGAGACTGTATTGGACAGGTGATGAGCAGTGCCTGGTGTTCTCCACACATACCGCTTAGAATTAAGGCCAAAAAGTTCTATCTTGGTCTCATCAGACCAGAGGATCTTATTTATCACCATCTTGGAGTCCTTCAGGTGTTTTTTAGCAAACTCCATGCGGGCTTTCATGTGTCTTGCACTGAGGAGAGGCTTCCGTCGGGCCACTCTGCCATAAAGCCCCGACTGGTGGATTGCTGCAGTGATGGTTGACTTACTACAACTTTCTCCCATCTCCCGACTGCATCTCTGGAGCTCAGCCACAGTGACCTTTGGGTTCTTCTTTACCTCTCTCACCAAGGCTCTTCTCCCCCGATAGCTCAGTTTGGCCGGACGGCCAGCTCTAGGAAGGGTTCTGGTCGTCCCAAACGTCTTCCATTTGAGGATTATGGAGGCCACTGTGCTCTTAGGAACCTTAAGTGCAGCAGAAATTTTTTTGTAACCTTGGCCAGATCTGTGCCTTGCCACAATTCTGTCTCTGAGCTCTTCAGGCAGTTCCTTTGACCTCATGATTCTCATTTGCTCTGACATGCACTGTGAGCTGTAAGGTCTTATATAGACAGGTGTGTGGCTTTCCTAATCAAGTCCAATCAGTGTAATCAAACACAGCTGGACTCAAATGAAGGTGTAGAACCATCTCAAGGATGATCAGAAGAAATAGACAGCACCTGAGTTAAATATGAGTGTCACGGCAAAGGGTCTGAATACTTATGACCATGTGATATTTCAGTTTTTCTTTTTTAATAAATTTGCAAACATTTCTACATTTCTGTTTTTTTTCTGTCAAGATGGGTGCTGAGTGTACATTACTGAGAAATAAAATGAACTTTTTGATTTTTGGAAAATGGCTGCAATGAAACAAAGAGTGAAAAATTTAAAGGGGTCTGAATACTTTCCGTACCCACTGTATCTTGAACGTTCATTGACAGAAGCAAGTGTTACTAGACACGAACAGATGGTAATGCAGAGTGTTAATTGTCGCATTGAAAATGAAATGCTCCTTCATACTGTCATATTCATTATTCTAGAGAGCAGACTTGATCACCAAACTTAAAGAAGAACATTGGGGTTTATGCTCTTACTATGTTTACTTTTGTGTCTAGCATTTAAAGGGAGTTTTTGGGAGTTTCATCCCAAAATTACTTCTCCTCTAGTGTGCTTGAATACAACTTTTGCTTAATTTGAAATGTAACACTTGTATGGACAATTTTTGAATAAGGAACTTATTTATTGGGCATTAGTTTGGAAATAGATTGCAACTTAGGAACCATTTATATCTCTATTTCTGTGATTCACAGATAAAATTTCCTTTTTCTTAAATCTACCTTTCAGACTGCCTTGTAAATTACATATCCTATTTCTTTGTTATAAGAAATCATCAATATAGTTCCTCTGCTTATGTCGAGAATGAGGCTCACGGTAAAGAGACACTACTGCCACAAAAGACACAGTACCTGCATGCACCTGCACACACAGAATGCACCTCTGGGAGGCTGCTTTCAATGTGCTGAGTGGACAAAAGTCAGGTAAGGATGCGTTCTTGCAGAGACTTTGCAGTTGTGTCACAAATGTAAACCACATCTGGCACCATCAGAAGGTTCGCTGGAGAAGTGTCTGCAAAAAAATAAAAATAAAATCCAGGTTTGAAAAACAGGTCAACTACCTTGCCTTTAGCCCTAGTTGGATTGTTGCTTCACAAAATTCTGATAAAGTTATGGCCACCCTATACTGTGCATAGAATTTAGGATTCATTACTTATGCCTGTTGTTTACACATAATTTCACCATGATTATGTTAGAAATGTCTTATAGAATGAACCATAAAAATTAAAATGAGTACCTTCTAAAGGTCACAATTCATCATGTTGTTCCTGCATAGGCCAAAGAACCTCCAACTTTTCTATTTATCTTACTCCATTTGTCTGTTGATTTATAGATTTAGTAATGATTATGCCTTCTATCCCTGTATGGCAATTTATTACCTCTGGACTAGACCACAGTGTAATGAAAATTTTAAATACTGTTTCTACTCTCAGCCGGCACCACGTTACTCACATTAAGAAACCTCTGAGTTATTTACTATTTCAATTTGCAGCAGCACAGGCCAATCCCAGCAGTACTGTTAACTACGCCCAGTGCAGGTGGCATGAAATTGTAAAGGGGATGTGGCACCAGACTGGCAACACAGCAGGTGACTCCATCACCACAACAGATGGGTGTATCGACCCTAGACTGTGATTTATGTTGTGTGTGTGTTCATGTGTGTACTTACAGATTTTTTAAACTAAGAGAATCAAGAATGTAGGAAGCAGCAGGGATAGAGAGGTTATTCCATCCAATATTAGTGTTAAATGATCCCACGCAATAAAGAATTTTCCCTTGAATAAACTTAGCTCAGATGATAGCTTTCACTGCTGCTGAGCACTGCCCACTTTCCCCCCTACATAGCTCCAGCACAAAAGCGGAGCAACCATAAGTAGAGAAAGACAACAGATAAAAAAAAGTAGTTTATGGCCTCCACAATGCAAAACAAGGTAAAAACTACTGTTTTCCAAGAGAACGTTTTTGCATGCACATGCAAACAGGACTCACTAACGTCCTTGTGCATGGAACCACAGAATTTTTTGAAATCACCACAGCAGCCTTGCTGCACTTGCTCCACTGTTGCCTGGAACAGTACTGGGCCGCATCTGGTCCTCATCTGGACCTGCGGGCTGTTTGGACTTCTACCAAGGCAAGCTCAACGAGAGCCACTGATAACATGGCAATGCTTAAAGCTGACTGCAGCAGTCTCCGAGTAGTAGCATAGTCAGTGAATGATGCACATGTTTAAACAATCTATCATGCTCATGGAAACAATATGTGTAGGTTGATTTATTACATGTGTTTGTGACTGCACTCCTGTACGCACGTGTGAAAGTTTTAGGTGCAGCTAAGGATTTTTGTCGCATTTGATTAGATGTAATCTATTTGAATTGTAAAACTTCAAAAGGTTGAGGATTCAAAACGACAAAAAGACAAAATGTTACAGTGAGGCAAGGGAAAGACTGGCAGGCCAACCAACATATGTAGGTGTGTGACACAAGAAATAGATAAAAGAGAGTAGAGGTTTGGCCTCTGGTCTTGTTTTCTGGCTTATAAATTCCTCCTCCCACATTTCCCCTCCTGCCTTTGCAAAACTCAACTCTGTCCATCTCAAATTCTTTAATGCTCCACAACTTGCAAACCACAGCAAATTAGCCAACCATCCCTCTGACAGAGTTGGTACGTCCAAACCACAGGTTGTTTCTAGCCACGCAGATAGGGGAAAGACAGGTTATCATTTGTTAGAATTGAAACTGACATTTGAAAAAACCCACAGACTCTATTGGAAAACAATGGTTTTCATTAAATTAACTGAAGGAATAGTTTAAATGAACAGACTTGTTGCTGTCGCATTTGTGTTGGACTGTGGTGACTGTGAGTTCTGTGATTAATACACTCTCCCTAACATACAAGTTAATCTCTCTATTGTTTGAAATCTTGCAGAATATTAGGACTTGGCTGAAGAGTCACTCCACCTCTATATAATTTTCTTCCTGAATATCAGTACTGAGTTTGGAAGGAGAGCATTTAAGAATTTGTCATCATCTGTTTGTTGCAGAAAGTATTTGGTTACCTATTGCCTACTTGGAACTTCTGTAAATACAAACAGATAAAAACTGTTTTGCCTTTTTGCAGGTTAGAGTTGCTGTAATGGACGACCAGTGTGTGTCCCACGGCAGTCCCCAGCGCAATGGAGTTCAGCCCAGCACAGAGATCCAGAGGCAGGGACGGTTGAGTGTCATCAGGTGTGGGTGGCTCAGGAAGCAAGGAGGTTTTGTCAAGACTTGGCACAGTCGCTGGTTTGTTCTGCGAGGGGACCAGCTCTACTATTACAAAGACGAGGAGGAGACCAAAGCTCTGGTAAGGCTGTGAATACACTGAAAGACTAATCCCAACTTATTTTTAAATAATGGCAACAGAAAACAACAGATTTCACAGACTGATGTGTCTCTTAGTGACAAAATGATCAGATGCCAAGTTCTTTAATCAAGCCGGAAGCCTACATAATGGAACATGTGTTGGTGCTATGGGTATTCATATTGATCTATTGTGCATTATTCAATATCAGATATAAGAAAAAGGAACAATTGTGTTTGGGCTGCTATAAAACTATGCCAACTGTGTACTGTTGTCAGCCAAGTCAACAATCAATTGAATCTGTTATGAGCTGATCACACTTGAAGAACTTACAGACATTTACCACGAATAGCTGATCAGATCAGAGGTGGATGCTGCAGGTGGAAATATTTTGGAATTATTTTGTTCCCATGCATTATCTCTGAAACAATGGGTTTACAGAGCAGATGCATCTTACAGCCACATGAGATAACAAGATCTGACTCACCTGATGAATCAGGTTATTTTGACTGTTTGAATATAAGTCAAAGTAAACTGTTGTGTACTTGTTTTCACTGAAGCCAGCACACAAAGCTATCCTGAAAGAACAGGGGACAATGAGTGATGCAGACAATAAGGTTGTCTCTAACGTTACTGTAACCAGGCAGCCTCTCTCACAGAGCATGTGTAGACCGAACAAAGAAGCAGAATTAGACAGGCTTTTGATTCTCATTACAAAGGAAAAATAATTAATTCCACCATGTTAGTTCAACATGGAGTTGCATGTTTTCAACAAACTGTCTTTGAAGTTGAAATTGAAGTGAAGTTGAACTGAGAAACAGAAGTTAGAATCTGTTGTCACAGATTTATTCTTGTTTCTATGGCTGTTCAGGGATCATTTTGCTGGGACTGAATGTCAGGGAGCCAGGGACAACTGAATACAGATAAGAAGCGATATTAATAGAGGAGTTTGACATCTTGGGAAATAAGCTAGACACGCCACTCAATCACATCCTCTCTATATAACACTATGTGGAAAGCCCATAACACTAGAAAGCCAATCGTCTGCTTTTAACAGCAAAGCAGGAAACATATTTCAGCCAATCATGTGGTTCCACTGATGTAAGGGTCTGTTATTCTTCTAATGCGCATGCATGGTAGTAGTGATGCATGCGTAGTAGAAGTATAAACGGTTTTATGTCCCGGTGACCAGTAAAAGTGAAGTTCCGGCTCTCTCCCCATTCATTCAAATGGGAGCCTGGTCTTTTCAGTCCGAAATAGCTGTTCGGAGGCTATGCCAAGATGGCTGCCGAGTTGCCTGCTTGCCTATAAAGACTTTGGCTTATTCTTGCCGAGAGTTAGATGAGAAGTTTCATACCACCTTCATGTCTGTTCAATATGAAGCTGCAGCCACGAGATGATTACTTGCTAAGCTTAGCAAGACTGGAAACAGGTGGTTACAGCTGTGTGACCCTGTCCAAAGGTCAAGAAATCTGCCTACATCTAAAGCTTAGATAAAACAAACTAGATATAATATGTTAAGTGCTTTAGGTCTGCTGGTGGGTGGATTTGGTTAGGTACGAGACTGGTCAGTATGCAGATGTCTAGGAACTTATTATTAAATACTAATTTATAAACAAGTGACATACATTAAAATCCTTTCGAGTAATTTAAAGTCTGCCTGTTTTCTTTTTATTAATTAGCAGTTCAACTTTTTCATTGGTAGCTACTCAGTTATTTGTGTTACCCTTTTGTAGAAGCCAGCTGTTTCACACCACGAGCAATGTTCCACAACCAATTCATATACCCATTCCATCCAAACAATATCCTCTTTTTCCAAGGGAAACTTGAACACTTGAGCACAGTTGAAATCTTCATTCTGCTCATCTACCCACATGTCTTTGTCTGGTTGATTTCCCAGCAAGCTCAGCTCAGCCAAACCCAAGCCACATCAGCAGCAGCAGCAGTCTCTGAAGGTTAAAGATCCAGACCTGAAGGTGGGCCTCTGGCCAGATAAAGGGAGAGGAGATTTTCTTCGCTGCTATTTCGGGGTTGCTCTGCTTCTTAAGCAGTGTATTTAAAACAGAGTGTGGTCTTATATTAGAAGCACCATGAGTTATGCTTTAGCTCTTAGTGGTGTGAATATCCTGAGGGAATGATGCAATTACTGTGGAACAGTTTTACATGATAATTTAAAGAAAATGACAGAAAAAATTAGTTTTCCTTTGAAATGTTCTTGCCATCTATATTTATCCACCCAAAAATGTTAATCATTAATGTTCCTACAACTTCAGCTACCTAATGAACGCTCTACTCATCTGTTTTTTTTTTGTAACTTTCTATTCTTCCTACTTCTGAAACAAAGCCAACATCAATTTCAGATGCCTAAAACTGCCAATTTCAATAAAACTAGGTCAGGCACAGAGCAGTGCTTTCAAAGTGCTTAAATCTCTGTGACCTCCAAAGCAGAGAAGCATGGAATAGCACAAAAACAACACTCTAACATGACACAGTACCCAATAGAATACAAGATAAGTACTCTAGAGTTTCCAACATTCTGAAAGAAAAAACACAAGTAGGGCAGAGAGGAGAGAGAGCCTCAGCCTCAGCTGTTCCTAGCCTATAACACTGATGTTCAAGATCAGGGCAAACACACACACACACACACACACAACACAAATGTACCATCATACATCTCTTAAGAGTGTGTTCAATAGAATTAAATCTCCCTGTCCTGCGTCATGAACCACATAACGCAGGGGTGTGAAGCCATATTTAGATCAGCTATTAATTAATTCACTCACGTGCTGTGACATCTCCATTTGTTACCTGTCACATTTGCCTAATTGCTGCCTCCTCTGTGGGAGCAGGAACATCTGCCCCTCTCTATTGCCTGTGGAAACACAGTCACCAACAAAACTTGGACTGATTTTGTCATGAACAGTAATACTTAAATACAAAGGTTGCATGAGAAATCTTTCCCATTTTACTGCTTAGTACACTATTTACTTTCCATTGCTTTATGGCTGTTTTTTTAATTCTACTATTTTCTAAAAACTCCACATTGCAATGATTCGCCCTTTTTCTATGTATAAATTACAGTTATACAACTTTACACCAGTCAGTGATTTCTAAATCTCATATTACTTCTCACTTATTTAATGTTGATTACGTAGGGAATAGTGAGACTGTGCTTACTTTTTCCTGATAAGTGATCTTTTGCGGTCATGTGACTAATGAGTGTGAAGTTGTGTGATACTGTTATAGCGGCACAAAATCTTTCTCTTTATGCTAAATGCTTCATTATTTTCACTAGCAATTTTGTCTGCTTACCATTTGGTCCTGGGCAAATAGTGTTTTTTAACATTTTTCTTGTTAAAAACAGCTGTCATCTGCGGTCAGGAGTAGACCAAAATATTGGAGGTACAGATGATATAACCAAAACAATGAGCTGAAAGAAGCTATACACTTTCATAAAACTGAGAGGAACTGTAGAATGAGGTGATAACTCTCTGTGTGTGTTTGTCACTGCTGGAGACACTTTTAACCTCAGCCCGTCCTCACCAGAAAAACGGATGTATAGGTTGATTGTTCAAGCAGCTCATTACGACCCATATTTACATGTATTGTAAGGCTGTTGTTAGGCCACCTTTAGTGGCCATGACAGTAACAAAGAAGGAAGTCAGGTAAAGTAGTGAGGTGATTGGGGTGAATGGATGGGTCATACAGACAAATTCCTGCCAATAGGGGTGCTAGATCAAAAAAGACGCAAAGAGCACAACAGAGGATGATGGTTGTGATGGGGAGCTTAACAAATACTCTGCAGCTGTAAAGATTTACAAAATTTACTGTGATTGTATTTCTTGCAGGACTGTGTTGCAAGAGTTCACTACGTTGTTGTGTACATAATAGTGAAATGCCCTGGACCAGTCCTAGAAAATAGAAGAAAATAATGGTAACCATACTAGCACTTAGCTTTATACAGAAATGAGATGAGATGAGATTTCAAATGCTGCTGCTCAGAGGAAGTGAGCGTAACACTATTGTCAATACAGAGGTCCGTGTTGTGTCCTGTACAGTCAGGCCAAACCTCTCTGAGCAACGTGTGGAATCTGAAGAATGGGAGTCAGATAGAGGTGAAGGGTCACCGAAAAGCATGCATAGTGTACGGCACGTGTGGGTTTAGCTTCAACATGCCATCTGCTTGCCCTTACTCGTCCATGGAGATGTATGCACGCACAAGCATGCATGTACTCACATTTCCACACACACACACACACACACACACACTCAGATTTCATCTGGCTGAGCCATAAACAAAGACAGTATTCATTCAGTGGGTGAAATGGTATGATTATTGTAATTTAGACCACTTAGTATTGTATCTGTATTCCTGTAAAGTAAGCAAGCTAACATTATGAATGAATGAGACAATTGTGAATGAATACATTGAAGCAATTTAATTTTATTATAATACATTAAGAAATGAAAGACATATTAAAATTTAATTAGAATATTACAATTCTCACCACAACAGGTCTTACAAGTTAGTTCATTAATATTAATAGCACGAGGGGGCTGTGTCTGAACTCAGACAAAATAATCAGAACAAAAAGTAGTTGGCTTTAATGAGAAGTTTTGTTAAATCTGTAATGCAGTGCAATAACCCACTGAAAATTCTTTGGTTTCTCTGCTTGAGCTGTGAACTGTTTGACCTTGGCATTTAACAGGAGTAAATAAAATGCCACTGCAGTCGTCTTGCTGCTGTTTTGATGAAACATTAACACTGTACCATTTGTCCGAAATTGTGCTCACTCTGTGTCTCACTTTTGTCACTTTTGACATTGGCAAACATGCACATAGACGAGGGATTCCTAGCAGAATGTATACATGTATGTATACTTGTACTGTGTGAAGGTTCCAGTGAGTCACATCACATCCAGACGTGACGTGACCCTCAATGTATTTGTATACATCATTAAACGCATCCGTGACAATCGTCTGGTTACAGAACCATACACAGA